TCCTCCAAAGCCGGCTTCCCCGAGCACAAACCACGTCGCAATGTGTCTGCTTTCAAACAAAGGAACCAATCTGGGAAATTGCCCCTTCGTCCCTCGATCCCTACCACAGTCGAACCTTCAGATCAAGCAATCAGGCATCATGTGGGCAAGAAGTATGGGCTCGACATGGATCAGCAGCAGAAGGCCGAGATCAGCGAGGAAAACAAGAGACGCATAGCCGAAATGTCGATAGAAGACATCGAAGAGGCTCGGGCTGAGCTGACGCGGAATCTCAATCCGGCTTTCCTCGAACGCCTCCTCAAACGTGCAAATATCGACGAAGATCATGTAGGCCAGAAGCCTTGGCCTGAGGGCGATGCCGAAGGTGTAGATGGCGATCAGAAAATCGAGAACGATGCCGTCGCCGAAATTGCCACAGATGAAGATGCTGCGGGCCATGCAGAACCCGCCCATGGCTCACCCCCCCGACCCTCGATGCATTTTCCCGTTCCTCCTCGCTCAGCAGACGACTACGTGCCTCTAAACTCGGCCGACGCCTCCTTCCTCGCCGACCTCAAAACACATTACTTTCCTGATACGCCCCATGACCCTTCCTCGTTGAGCTGGCTCCACGATCCTACCGAAGAGGAGGATCAGGCGTCACTGTACAACCCTGAAAACGAGTCATTTCTGGCATCTGCCCTTCGGTTTGGATTTAATGGCCGCCTAATACCGCCGAAGGAGAGCTTAGAGGTCGACGTGAAAGAAGGGCTGCATCATCACGGTGAGGCGCCTAGCAGCGCTGGGTACACTATACCAGAGCTTGCCATGCTGGCACGATCTACGTTGCCTAACCAGCGATGCTTGGCTTATCAAACGCTAGGTAGGATCCTGTACCGGCTGGGAAGAGGAGACTTTGGTGCCAGAGGCTGCGAACTTCAGGAAGCGCTCTGGTCCGTTATCGAGAAAGAGAGGCCAATTGAGAGCATAATGGCTGAAGCCAACCGTCAGTCTGGCCATGCCAGTGCCAAAGCGCTCGCGGTCGAGGCGCTCTGGCTGTGGCGAAAAGGTGGCGGTGGTGACCGAGGGGTTTTGAAGCCGAGCCAGCGGCTAGCAAAATAAGTCTCGGGCAGTGCGTGCTCGATGTGGATGGGATCGGGAGGACGCAATTGAACCATTGGAGCATGGTAGGTGCAAATGACATGACGCTTGATTGAGGTCTCAGGATATCTTACCTGGCAGAGAAAGTTGCAACCTGCCTCCGCCAACGCCGAGACCTTTGGCACATAGCGAGATCAGCTTCTCTCACGGCAAGTTAGTGTCTTGAGCGTCACTACGGACGAGGGCCGAGATCTGTGCATTGACGTTCGTACTTCATAGGCTGCTGTGGTATGTCTGACTGCCCGCTGGCGTGAATACAGACTTGTAGAGAACCGCGTTGGCACATACCTCCTCTGGCGTCAACAAGTCTGGTATGTGTCGTCGTTGTCCACTTTCGAAAACATGCCGGGCACCGATTCTCTGACTCTGGCATAGACTACGGACAGGGGGTTTGGCATGGCTTATATCGTCCTCGCGAGCTCATGGAAGCAGCCGCATGGGACTAGGCAGCTCTCATGCGATGTATCGGCTGGGTATTGCGTGCCGTGCCGTGTTCAATCCTCATCCCGTGGACCTGAGCTGAGCTGAGCTGAGGTCTGGTTGGTTGGTTGGTTGGTTGGGGGAGTCACGATAATGACAGTGAAACTGATAATGATGACCCGTCCTCTGCAAAGCTTTGCTCGTGATTGCGGTCGTGGGTGTAAGTTTGAGTGTGAGTGTGAGGGCAGCCCTACAGAATCTTGCGTTGTCACTTGCAAAGGATACATTAGTGCGTCAATAAATACAGGCAATATAAATACTACATGAATATATCTCTCTATGTATATACGCATAGTCCCCAGAGACACACCCACACAGACACAGATAACTTGTCACCCATCAACTGCCCCGTTACATCTCCACATACCAAGCAAGATCAACCCCGTCCTCGAGCTCGTAGCTCGTGAATCCGTTGCCCATGAAGCGGAACCTGTTGCGGGAGCGGTACTGGATGTCAAAGTCCTCGGGTCGGATGCGCTCGACCATGTCGTGGAAGAGCATCGCGCTTCCCGCAAACGTCGCCGTCACGCGGCCATCGATCCGGTTGTTCTTGTACCATGAGCGGCCTTTTTTTTATAGGTCCCCCCGCCCAGGGGTAGCGAGCTTAGTAAATGTAACAAACCATGCTGGATGGAGTGGAGAGAGTGGAAAGAGGAAAACAAATAGAACGGGTGGAAAAGAAGAAAAACAAAGAAAGAGAGAGAAAGGGAGGGAGCGACGCCGGGTGGGCTAAATAGGAAAGCAACTCACAGTTCCCAGTCCAGGTGAGGGTCTTCATGATCTCGTCGCCGTACCTCACCAACTCGTCGACGACCTGCTGCTTGGGGGCGATCGACGCAATGTCCTCCCTGGCCATCTTGCGCAGCCACTGGATCATCCACTCGGCCGTCCAGTCGAGGCTGTAGATCAGCGAGCCGTGCCCGATCGTCGCGTTGGGCCCCATGAACATGAAGTAGTTGGGCATTTCGGGACAGGCCATGGACTAGAGAGTAATCATGACAGGAATGGTTAGAGTCATCAGTCCCTTTTGGAAAAGGGGGGCCATTTCAAAAATGTTGTAACTTGGCCCTTTAGACTTTGTGACTTACCAGATATGATTCAGGTTCGTCTTTCCATTTCTCGCCCAAGTCGGTGCCGTTGCGGCCAATGACAGGGAACGGCGGCCTGTTGGAGACGTCGAAGCCAGTGGCACAGATGACGACGTCCAGCTCGTAGTACTGGCCGTCTTTAGTCTTGATGCCGTGTTCGTCGACGTAGTCAATGTGGCTCTGTGTCAAATGTACGTTGTCCCTGGTGAAGGACTCGAGATAGCCGGCGCCCGGCGTGATGCGTCGGCACCCGACTTCAAACTCCGGGATGAGCATCTTGCACAGTCGTGGGTCGTTGTTGAGCTTGTCAGCCATCTGCTTGGTCGCAAATGCCTTGATCTCCTCCTGCTGCTTCGAGCCCTTCCCGAAAATCCGGAACCCGCGATTGACGTTCCCGATGATGAGCTTGCGGTACTTCTTGAGTTCTTCCGGGTTGCGGAACCGCTCCTTGTCGACTTCGCGGTAGACCGGATTGTAGCTCGGATCGTCGCTGCCAACGAGCTTCGCCGGAGTGTGTCTGGAGACAACCCAGGTTGGAGACCGCTGAAAGCACGTCACCTTTGTGCCCTCCAGCTTGGCCATTTCGGGCAGAATCTGGATGGCACTACTTCCGTTGCCGATCAGACCAATCCTTTTGTTCCGGTAGTCATATTCATGGTTCCAACCTGCACTGTGGACCTTGAGACCCTTGAAGGTGTCCAATCCTGTAATGTTAGGCCACTTCCAGTGACTCAGTATACCCCTGGCAGAGACAAGAACGTCCGCCCATTCCGTCCGCTGACCCTTGTCCTTGTGCCTAACCTCAAGCCTCCATTGAGCTCTCTCATCGTCCCACTCGGCTCGCTCGACGGTGGTGTTGAACTGGACGTCCCTATCCAGGCCCCATTTCTCGACCGTCTTCTGGAAGTACTCCTTGATCTCCGGACCGGTCGAGTAGAAATGCGACCACTCGGGGTTCGGGGCAAATGGAAAGACGTAGATATGACTTGGCACGTCACATTGCACGCCTGGGTAGCTGTTTGCGATCCAGGTGCCGCCCGCGTTGGATTTGCTCTCGAAGATGGTGTGTTCGACCAGCGTGGCAAACTCCTTGGCGTAGGTATATTGGAGCTTGTGCGCAAAGATCATACCCGAGTAGCCAGCACCAATGGTCACGACGCGAAGCTTCTTGCTGGGCGTGAAGGCTGGGACGTCATGCATCGGTATCTTGATTGACTCTTGAGCGGCGTGCCCATCGACGACATTCGTGGCCCAGGGCGTGGAGCCGTCATGGCTTTCGTCTTGCTTACCCCTGACGGTCACCGGTGGCAGACCGGTGGTGGCTTCGCCAATAGAGCCCATGATGTTCCTTGTATAGATTTCTCATATAAAGTTGAGCAATCCCAAGGTTGGACTCGAGACAGCAGCGAAGGTCACAAATAAAAGGCATATTGAACTCGTATCACCCTGCCGAATTGCCGACTTACCGGTGGTGATGTTGGAGAAGTTTGCGGAGGTTTTGCCGTTGCTCATTGTTGTGGTAGGAAAGTGGTTTGGAGAAGAAAATGAGTTCGGATCCAGTGAAGCGGCAATAAGGGTGCGAACTTTGCCGTATCAATAGCCACTGCGTCACAGGTGCCGGCAAAAGCGAGTCCCTACTACTGCCGACCACTACCCAGGTAAATGCAATTGTGCCTGTTCGCATGTGGAAATCTGAAATAAGCATGTGTCTTTGGAATACTGCCTTAGCCAATGTGGTGATACACAGCGGACTGGTAGCCTAGCAGGATGGTTGGTGACGCCACAGACTTGAAGCATTGGTCCCAAGATAGGGCCGCCAGGCTTTCCTTTGCACGTTGACTAATCTTATTAGGCTTCTCAAACCTGGGTGACATCCATCTCACCTTGATCCATTCCTGATAAATTAAGACAGGTAGAGCAGAGACAGAGCAGTGAGCAGTGAGCAGTGCCAATAGCTAGGCCGGCTTCGGTCAGAACACTATGTAGGGAATGAGTATTATGGAATCATCAGTTTCTTCTGCCCTGTCCAAGACAGAATGTTGCGCGGCATCAACGGTTCGATTTGCTGACTGCTTGTACTTGATCCATCCACACTATACACCCGGGCCCGGGCAGGATTGTGGAATCATGATGTTCTGATATTTGTCCTTCACACGGACTGGATAAGAACGTTGACCAAGGTTTAAGGCTCTCCGTCTTCTCCAGTACAGCAACATTTTCTCAGTCACAGATGGTCAACCTGCGACAGCCTTGTCAAAACTATCACGGTCAAACCTCTGGAGAAAACAAATCATGGCTCCTGAGAAACGCACCGTTCTGATAACTGGATGCTCCGATGGCGGCCTCGGTGCCGCCCTCGCGCTGGCCTTTCACAAACAGGGCGACCGCGTCTTTGCAACGGCGCGCACTCCCTCCAAAATGTCGTCCTTACAGTCCCTCGGCATCGAAACTCTACCCCTAGATGTCCTCTCCGAAGAGTCAATCAGGACTTGCGTCGAGAAAGTCTCGTCTCTGACCGGCGGTTCGTTGGACATCTTGGTTAACAACGCCGGCGCTGGGTTTAACATGCCGGTCCTCGATATTCCGATTGCTGAAATCCGGAGACAGTTCGAGCTCAATGTGTTTAGTGCGCTCCGAGTGATACAGTTGTTTTTCCCGCTGCTTCGCGATTCGACGACGAAGAACAAGATGATTGTGAACAATACCTCATGTGGCGCCGTGCTAACCCTGCCGTTCATGGGACCATATTCGGCCTCAAAAGCCGCACTCGCCAGCTTCAGCGAAACCCTACGGCTTGAAATGCAAGCATTTGGGATCAAAGTCATCGATTTACGGACCGCAGGTGTGAGATCGAAATTCTTTGACAACGTCAACGTCGAAATGAGTCCCACCTTACCGGAAAACAGTCCCTATTCGCCGGGCAAAGACATTGTCGAAAAGTTTATCAGTCAAGGTCCATCAGTGAGACTCATGGATGCAGACGTCTGGGCGAAGAACGTGGTGAGGGATTTATCCAAGCGTGGTGGAAAAGGTGCACCACATCAGATCTGGAGGGGTCAGGGAGCGACGTCCGCATGGTTCTCAGCGACGGCCGTGCCCGTGGGATGGATGGATGGAGTGGTGAAGAAGTTTTCAGGGTTGGATATGGTGGAGAGGAGGATAGAGGAGAAGGAAAACATGGCTTGAGGTCACCAAGCTCAGTGAGGCAGTTCGTCCTAGGTACGTCACCAGGGTGGGTAGCCGCCTCCAGACCTCTCAAAAGGATAATGTTGCCGGCATAGAATTGCGCTTCCCGATATCTTGAATAGGTGGATTTGCTCAGCCTCGTTCCAATCAAGAACTCGGTCTTGTGATATTTCCACGGGCAGCGAAGGTCATGTGGACGTTGAACTTTGTCCGGATGAGAAAGGAGGTGGCTGTGCCTTGAGATTGGTCTGCGCATGCATGCCTCGGAAGTTCCCAGCTCTCGAGGGTGATGCCACAGTCCGGTGGGAGCAAACAATACTGTGTGGATGGCCAAAAAGCCAATTGTGAGCGACGAGAATGTACGCAGGATCCATTTTTGAGTGACAGGGCCTGGCGGCGAGGATATTCTGCTCGGTACACTTGAACATGTCCATCTAATAGCTAATCAAGCAATCGCAGCCTATTCAGGAGAATCCGGCGGTTACCATGCCTTCGTTCGTCTCCTGCAACGACTGCCGCTCGTCTTCCACAAGAGCAAAGGATAGAGCGGGTCAAGAGAATGTCCTTACCGCCGCAAGAAAGTTAGGTCGCAGGTTCCAGCCTCTAGCCACTCAATGCAGCGGTAAATATCCTATGTCAGCATGCGAGCCCAAAGCGTTGGTTGTGTAGTGTTTTGGACAGATCTCGGAACGCTGTCAAAGCCGTGAATCCGCCTGCACAGTCATGCAGCCTGTGCAGTCCAATTGGGGAATACGAGCTGCAAATGTGCGGGCATTCACATCCATCACACGCCCACGAGATGCAGTCCCCACCACGGGACTTCTGCTCGTACAGCCATGAGTGTCAGAGTATGATGAGCCAGCGCCCACTTCCACCCTTCCCGGTCACGGTACTCGACGGGTATCTTGGGTCGGGTGTTGGTTCGAAACCTTGTAGAGCTGAATAAGGGACGTGTGACGGTGGTGCCGGCGGTGCTGCGTCCTGCGTCCGAGTATCCCGTTACAGTCGTGGACACAGAGTGTACTGCGCCTTATACGGCATGGGCACATCGTACCTAGTGTGAGAATCGACGGAGCGAGCTGGTGGTGACGCGAAATGGAAACCTGGAAAGGGAAACGTTATCTCATTTGGGTGCCGATGTGGAATCTGGAAGACTCGGCACTTTGGAGGTTAGCAAGGGAGTAGGAGTAAGTACTGGGTAGAAGCTTGGACTCTGGAGCGTTAAATCTTGAGCTTGAGACCAAGCGAGGCAAGCATGGCTGTTGAACAGCAGCCCACCTGGCCAACAAGTGCGTGCTATGGTAGCCGAGTTGCCGCAACGGGCACTGCTGGCGGCATGCCTGCTGGTTTAGGCGTGCCCCACAGCCCCGAATAGGGCTCTCATTTACTAGGCACGACAATTAGGGCAGGCATCGGCCTCGCCGAGTCTTATATGCAAGCCCAGCTTCCCCGCGAGCCCCCAACGAGCATAGTACAAGGAGCTCTTAAGGCATTGCCCCATGCCCATGGTTACAAGTTGGACATGAAAAATCCCATTGGGAACCTCTGTCACATGTGGAGTGAGTCCGCTTGTTCTTGCACGTTCACATCCCCCAATTTCGGCCGTGTGTTCTGTATGTCCTCTATATCCCTAGTATTCCTAGGATCGCCTTCCCCTTGAGATGTTTTCTCGTAATTCCCTGCCCGCCCGTAGCGTCATGCAGCCATCGTAAATCAAATGAGTGCAAAGGTACAAAGTACCAAATGGCCACGTGGATCACTCGCCCTCTATCCCAGAGACCCAACGAGATCCAACCAAAGAGAAAATATTAGGCTTGCTTTTGAGTCTGGGCCGCAGCCGTGATGCGAGTGCCAGACGCGCGGATCCCGGGCCTGCCCACCTGCCATGGCAGTCCAGCCGCCACCAATTCCACCCTCCGAGCCCCCTAATTATCACGCAGATCGCAGTCCTTGTAGCTGCCCAGTGAGGTCACGCCCAGCGTTTTCAAAAGAGAAGCCATTGATCGACAATGGCGAAAAGTATTAGACGAGAGTATTAGGTTCAACGCAGACTCGGGTTGGAACAAAAGAGTAGGCCGAGGACAACTTCTGGATAGCCCAAGAAACCAGAGGCTAGGAACCGAGTTGGCCCCCGTTCACCTCTGCATCCGAATCCATCCCAGCATGCGTTCCAAGACTGGGTCTTCGTCTACCCAATAGCCCTTTCGTCGGTCGGCGTTGCGAAGGTCTCGGAAAACATGGTCATCCGTAATATCGTTGAGTTCCTAGTTCAAATAAGAGCTAAATCAGCCTTTGTCTCGCTCTCCTTTTTGTCCCTCTCTTTTTGGGATATCATTCGGGGACACTGTCTGCACGCGGTGCGCTGATCATTTCCTCCTCTGATCCTTCTAAACCACATGGCTTCGCTAGCTAACCAGAGGGAACAACGGTGACACGGTGTGGGGAAGTGCGCCGATCACCATTGAACATTTTTGATGTAGAACATGCAACGTACCTGGCGAAGTCTCTGGTCAATGGCCCGGAGACTGTTCGCGTGTCTGGGGCTTGGTTTCTCTCCTCGCAGGAGCTGAGCGCGCAGTTGCACCCAGCGCATCGCCGCAGACCCTCGCAGATAGATTTTGTGGGCTTGGAACCTTCTCGTAGAGGCATCGAGGATGATTCTATCCAGCTGCTTGTTAGTATACTTCTCTGACTCTGCGCGTAGATCTTGTCGCACCGTTGTAGAGACGCCTTCTGAACTTCGGTCTCGGGGATGCTGCCAGACTGAAGCCCAAGGTTGCCCGGGTTAAAGTGGCCCGCGAGAACCGCCTGCGACTCAGCGGCACACTGTCTCAAAACCACATAGCCGTCCAGGTAGTAGGATTCCTGGTCTGGAGGATTGGCCTCACTGCGCGTGATGAGCGAGTTGATGTGCATTTGCAGCGTTCGAAAGTCGTTCATGATCTCCATGACGCGCACTGCGCGGGCTTCGTTGACTGCAATATCAGTTAGCCAGAAGGCTCTTGGTGTGGGCGGTTCTCGCATGTATGAGGCGAGAAATTACGGTCAGACGCACGTCCATCAGCCATTGCGAAAGGCGAGTTGGCCAAATCAAAAGAAGTTTGGTGGTAGTCGACAAGCAGTGGCTCGACGGACGGCGGCGCAAGTTCAACAGCTTTTATCTTCGCTTCGGGGGACTTTTGATTGTGCTTCGCAGCCAAGTCAGGAATCTTCGCGGCAAGGAGAATGAGGTCTCGGACCGTTGGCTCAGCCCTCTGGTCAAGTTGTCGGATGGATGAAGCCTGAGAAGAGGAAAACAACTGTGGCCGCAGCGAGGAAAGCATTCTTCTTAAAGACAATCGCCGTCCACAGATGTCATATACAGCTTGGGGTCAAGAGGGACAATGGCCCGAAGGGATAGAGACGGGCACAGAGAAGGGTTTGTGGACTCAATCTCGTGGCTTCACCAGCAGTCGACCAGTCAGGAGGATAGGAGCGGTCATGAAGATAGGGGACCGGGCCGTAGCGTCATGGGAAAATGGAGCAGGCCTCCCAGCTGTATGAGATATCCAACAGAAGAGGATGTTAGGATGTGAGCGACGGTGAAGCTGGAGGCAAGTTTTACAGCACTAAGCCGGGGCAGGCTCAATGAGGCAGATGAGAATAGAGACAAGCACCAAAACGGTCGACACGGCTGTAGACGGCGGCCACAGCGCTTGGATTGATGCGCACTGACTATTGGACACTGCCTCAATCGCAGAGCATGTCGGAATGATGCAGCTCTGGCGGTGGATCAGTCGAGGCTCTGCTGTAGACACCGACTGTGTGCTGTATTGATCAGCAGGCGGCTTGCAAGCCACGGGGTCGAGTGAGTTCTGGATCATGCTCATTGACCACGACTGGGCCGATGGAGACCTGGGTTTAGCAACATGGAAATCGCAGACGAGGCGTTTGGAAATGACCATGTGCAGGACAAGTTAGAGCAACTGTAGAGAGGTGGATCTTGGCCTAGCATGATGAAAAATGTTTGTGTGAGTGGAGGATGCAGGACGAGAGGGGGAACAGCGGTAGGCGGGTTGCCAATAGGCGAGTTTGGTGCCCGCCAATCATGCGTTTGGGCTAGCCCTCCCCTTGGGGTGGCCCTTGGCTGCCCGTCCCTAAGCATTGGGATTTAGGTAACTACCTAGGTGCCCTGATGGGCCCCGTCAGGTAACGCCATACCCAACGTGGGCGCTCAGGTCAACGGTTAAGCTTCCCCACCATGGCCCAATTGGGGCAGCTGAGCAGAATGGCGTCCATGGCACACGCAAACCGCGAGAAAAAGAGGCACCAGAGGCTGCCCTCTTGCAGCAGGAACTCACCCAGGTCCCAGGTCCCAGGTCCCAGGGCACGCACATGGCGCTGCGAACGATGGTGCTGCAAGCTGCAAGCTGAAATCTCTTCTGTTTCCATCCACGCCCATCGACTGGTCCACCTCTATTTTCATCATCCACTCCAGCACTTCGCTTCTGCAAACCTGCAGGGGATCTATTTCGCGCACGGCTCGTAGGCGCAATTGGGAAAGGATGTCAGAATGGCACAGCATGGTGATTGAGTCGGCGGCTTGAATTTCCTGGGTTCAAGCCTCACACACCATCTCAACAACACGAGACGCACGACGCACGACACACGTCAACCCACGCCAATGCACAGCTCCTGGATCAATGGTTTTTCCATTTCCTCACCTCTACTCCAGCAGCCACAGAAACGCCACAACTGGCTGAGGCCGGCTGTGCTGACTTGTCCTCTCAATTCCACGCATAAACACGGCAATGAGGCTGGGACAAGGTTGTCCACCCCTCGAGGACCTGACACGCGCCTGACGCTCTAGTGGCGGTCACTCAGGCCAAGAGCCGGATCATTGTGGATCCGTTCCAGGACCAAGTCCCGTCTTCGACTTTAGGAGCAACCGTTCGAAAATCCTTTACGCCAACCATGACGTGCCACACGCATCATCTCATATCAGCTCCGAGAGGCTGCTGAACGTGACCCAACCAATAGTCCCCAGATTCACTCCATGATATAATTTTCCGTGTGGACAAGCTGAACCCATACTGATCCCTGTCCAGCGTGGTTGCCGACATTGTCGTCATTCCCCGGGTCTCAAGCAGAACGTACAATGTGCCCTCTGGTTCGGTGAAGAAAGAGATATGCTCAATCTCGCTCCGCAATAGCCTGAAGACGTTCCTCGACTTCGTCTTCTGTCAAGGTCCTGAACTCATTATCGGTGCCCTCAGTCCCATCAGCCTTCGGTCCACCCACGATGCCAATCTCCAATTCGCCCTTCTTGAAGTCAACACTCAACACGGTGCTGAGAGTGCTGATCCCTAGCTCAACCACTTCTTCCCAGCTGCCGGGAGCGCAATCCTTGTTCTTCAGCTTCTTCTCTAGATGATTGAGTGCCTCTTGTTGCTTAGGTCCAGACGCCGTGGCTTTGTAGCCGACATAATAGCCTGCAGGATCACATTTATAAAGTTGGGGTCCATATTCGTCGTCCACAGAGACCAGTGTCGTCGCTACGCCCAATGGCCGCATGTAAGCCTGCGACAAACAATTAGCCTAGATCTTGCGCCCCTTCTCGAGTAGATTTCGACGCACCCGCTGAGTATAGACTTGATTGATGTTTGCCAATCGTTTTGCAAGGACATCGCACGGCATTTCATACCCGTTTCTGTATCTGAATTCCGCAGCTTCACCTCGGGCTCGGTCGACAGAGGCTCGAGCATCGGCTATTGAGCCGGTCATGACGCATCCGACTGAGGGAGAGATCTTGAAGACATGCGAGACCGAAGAGGGATCAATCAATTTGTCCTGCGCCAGGAGTAAGCATCTAACATGAATTGACTCGAATTTGGCAAATTCTTTCGTACCGGCACCTTTTTTTGTGACAGCACAACAGCGCATGTCTTCCCCCTGACTCCGACTGATGTGATATTGGCTGCAGTGATTGCTTTGAAGGCATATTCTAAGTGTAGATGTAAGTATAGCTGAAATCTATCTCATTGCGCGGCGACTCAGGTTGGAAGTGCGAAGGGTTGTCCTTGCACCGCAGCCGGGCAGGTGAGTCGCAACTCGGGCTTCAAGGGTCTCCAAATGATTGCGGAAACGTACCAACTTGATATAATCGCCCTTGGTCTGAGAAGATGGTGATATGTCGATCATAACCTGCGGAGCCTGATGCGAAGACTGTCAGCTCGGTGAGTCCGACACAGCTACAGTAACAAACCACGTCAAACATGTACGCACCTGACATCTTGACCTCCTTCGACCGAGGTACAACGAACCAATTATGTAGTACAATGCAGCTTGAAGCGTCCTCCAAGGAATGAGGCTCGATTGAGAGGAGCGAGGTAGGAGTACTTGTGTCGAACTTTTGATGATGGATGATATTCGCAGCTTTAGGCCTGGACGGAGTATGAGGTTTCCAAACGCGCAAGTCTCGCGATGCCTGCTGCAGGCTGCTCTTCCACTAGCCACTGCAATCGCCCCCACAAAGACCTTGCACTGCCACTTGTGGCGGTAAACCACTACCTGGAATTTTTAGCATTGTTGTAATTGGTCTCGAATATGAAACTTCAGCTTCCATGAACATTCGACGATCTTTCCAAATGACCTGACCTCGGATCTTGATCAGCACTCCGGCTGGAAAGGGAACTTCAGACAGGCTCTCGCTCCTTTGCCCTTCAAGGATCATCATGTCTCGGCCTGGGATTCCAGCTTGGAAGAAGCTTGGACTGAAACTGAAGTACGCAAATGAAAACCCGGAACGTGCGACCAGCAATGGTATCGCGTCACCAGCTCACCAAGCTGGTTATGATTCATTGAAGGACTCGCAATCATCTACGTCAGAACCCCCGAGGAAGAAACAGAAGATGGATTCTAAATCCAAAAAGGCTGTCGAGTCAGCATCAGCCAATCCGGATTTGCAGCCTGAGACCACCAAAGGTAGAGAGGAACCGGCAGGAAGGAAAGTCGAGAAACGAGTATCATTTTCTGCCGACGCAAAACCTTCCTCCCCGACAGGAAGTCTATCACCTGTTCTGAATGACTTCAAGGCTCAAAAATCTTCGACAAGTGTCAAGAAATCAAAGAAAACCGGACCAAACGTTCTTCAACAATTTGTGCCTAAGTCGACTGCTGTGTTGGAATACCTCAACCAATATCACGCGGCACGGTCAGAATGGAAATTCAACAAGAACCGAGAGACGTGGATTTTGAAACACGTCTTCTCGGAAAGTGATATTCCCCAAGAATACAATCTTGCTCTGGGAAGATATATCTATGGACTACAGGGTGCTGGGGCTCGCGAACGATTGAAACTGCAGAGCATAGCGTTGTTAGAAAAGGAGGAAAGGTCTCACATGGAAGTCGATAGCCGTGGCAATGTTGCTGATGAAGAAGGTGATGTTGAATATCGCCAACGGTTCAAGGACGATCTGGCAAGTCCACCATCGTCGGGTATTGCTGCTGCAGGCACTCTTGCCACAGACCCGAAATATCAATCCTGGATTCAGAGGCAATCACGTCCAAGGATATTACTGTGGGCACTTGGCCTGGACAGTGACGCCCTAATCAACGGGACCAAAACAAAGGTTAAGAAGAGAAAGAACAGGACTGCGGTTGTCGACTACTTCAGCTCCAGCTCCAGTTCCACTTCTAGTTCTAGTGACAGCGACAGCGACAGAGACAGAGACAGCGGGAGTGAGAGCGAAGAGAGTCACAAAGGTTCTCAGGGCCGCATCAGGACGTCAAAGGGGGACAAGAGTGAAGAGACTTCTAGTAGTGGCAGCGATGAAGATAGTAGTAGTGAGAGCGACTCGAGTACCGATGTCGAGAGCGCTGTCTAGTAACCAAGGCGGGATACAGAATCGACAAATGTACTCGGTATCCACGCACACTCCCTACTCGGTACGTACGACTCATCAAATCTGCTTGTGGTGGCTGTTGTACTTGTCACGTTTGCTGTGTTTGCACCTGCCACCTGACCAGGCGGCTGTCGCGGAGCAACAGGGAGTGGAGCATGTTTTAGCTGGGCGACTACCAAGTACTTGTTACATAGGAGGTTACAAGTTTCCGTGGTGCCTGGCAAGGTCGTCATCCTCCTGCGACTCACGGGCCTTGGCTGCGAAACAGTCAAGCCGTTCATCCATCTCCATCCCAATCGTTCTACTCTCTTATCATTGTTTCATCCCAACATCCATCCGTTGCCTTCTCCTTTCCTTTCCTTAACTAGCAATTGGTGGCTGTGACGATGAAGAACAGTCTTGTCATCGCGGCAGCTGCGCTGCTCGGTGCCGCCGATGCTGGTATGCATCGAATGAAGCTTCAGAAGGTGCCCTTGTCAGAGCAACTAGTGAGTTCAGACTAAGATTCTATGTCTAAACAAATCCTCTAACATCCGTCACAGAGCGCTGCCAATATTGGCGATCATCTGCGTGCACTCCGCCACAAATACACACAGAAGCCTATCGGCGGCCCTAGCGAGGACATCTTCCGCGACACCTCCATCCATCCAGATGCTCCCCATGATGTCCCGGTCGAGAATTTCCTGAATGCGCAGTGTAAGGAATGCTGGCAGTCATACATCTTCATGTAGCTAATCATGTGCAGACTTCAGCACCATTGCGCTAGGAACACCAGCCCAGGAATTCAAGGTTGTCCTCGACACTGGCAGCTCCAACCTCTGGGTTCCCAGCACCCAGTGCGGCTCGATCGCCTGCTACCTCCATCAGAAATACGATTCCTCGGCCTCGTCCACCTACAAGAAGAACGGATCTGAGTTCGGGATTCGCTACGGCTCTGGGGAGGTGGCTGGCTTCATCTCTCAGGACCTCCTTCGCATCGGCGACCTCAAGGTCAAAGATCAATTGTTTGGAGAGGCGACCAGCGAACCCGGTCTGGCTTTTGCCTTTGGCCGTTTCGATGGTATTTTGGGTTTGGGCTACGATACCATCTCGGTCAACCACATCCCTCCCCCATTCTACAACATGGTTGACCAGAAGCTTCTTGACGAGCCCGTCTTTGCCTTCTACCTTGGTAACACTGAGGATGGCACCGAGTCTGAGGCTACTTTTGGCGGCATTGACAGCAACCATTACACAGGCAAGATGATCAAGATCCCACTCCGACGCAAGGCATACTGGGAGGTCAATCTTGACTCCATCACGCTTGGCAAGGACTCGGCAGATCTTGACAATACTGGTGTGATTCTCGACACCGGCACTTCATTGATCGCTCTCCCAAGCACCCTTGCCGAACTGCTCAACAAGGAGATTGGTGCTAAGAAGGGCTTTAATGGCCAATACACGGTTGAGTGCGACAAGCGCGACTCGCTGCCAGACATCACCTTTACTCTTAGCGGGTACAACTTTTCTATCACCGCTCATGACTATATTCTTGAGGTCCAGGGTTCTTGCATCAGCAGCTTCATGGGCATGGATTTCCCAGCTCCCACCGGTCCCCTTGCTATCCTTGGTGACAGGTACGTCTTTCCCCCCCACGCGCTCCTACCGTCCAACACTGGGCTTTGTGCTAATATGTTCTTTTAATAAAAAGCTTTTTGAGGAGATGGTATAGTGTCTATGACCTGGGCAATGATGCGGTTGCTTTGGCCAGAAGCAAGTAAAGTCATGATTGTGATTGCGGAATAGGGTGCTAAATTGTCGCCGGGACTGGAGAGAAGTGGACGTAGGAATGTTTGGATCTATCCGGACGCAGGAACGGATGTATGTGTCTTCTCACACCGACCAACTTAATTGTGTACATCAAGCACTTCACGGTCCGGTACTGCTTGTGACGGGCAGGTGCTGGCGCACTTAGCAAAAGCGGTCTCGGGTCTCATATACCCATACCAAGTACTTGTTACATATAGTCAGTGAATAAAGCCAAATCGTCATCTCGAGACCACTCCCCTTGTCACCAAGTCAACATCTGGTGATTTAGCTTTGGGAATGGAGGGAGCGAGGCTCGTGACCATCTGATGACTCGTTGTTGGTCTTTGTCCCCTGACGGCATATGGCGGGGCTCCTTTGGCTCCTCTGGCTCCTCTGCGTCCTTTGCTGCGGGCTGATTGGCAGCGGCTAGCGTGGAGTGCGGGTTATAAAAGACAGCTCTCCGGACCGGCTGGTGGAATTCCTTGCCCGTTGGTTCCTCGTACAGTACCTGTAACGAAGCCCGCAATTGCCAGTCGAGCTGTGCTGGAGCTCGTCGAACCCATCCATTGATCCCTCAGAACATCAGCACCACAAACTGCTTAGGCACCCCCCGGAGCCACCATTACCTACCTGACCTACCTAGGTAGCAGACTTTGCTATTATTGGTCCGCTTGCGACACACCCTGCGTGTTTGCTCCGTCGTATTGACAGTGACAGGTATTCACCTGCGCACAGGTTTCAACAAAGCAATCAACAAGTCTGCGTCTCAGCCTTTACAGATTTTACCCATCATCGTCGCAAGAAGGTCTTTACTCATATTTCTCCTCCTTCTGAAAGTCGCCACTACTCCCCGCCTGACTATCAAAACAACTTTCCTGTCGCTTCGCGCTCCTCCGGCGCCCGCGGTACCAAACGAACCCCCCCACCGGGCTCTCTTGCTTGTACCGCAACCTTGACTAGAAAGCCACCTACATGCTCCGATCAATGTCACTGTCGTTTGCACCGCGCTCGGAATGCTATTACGACTACCCAAAAATCTCCACTATCCCCTCACAATCACAAAAGTCGAAAAGCGGGTTGGCGAGAATGTCGCTCGCAACGATGACTTATTCCTGTACTCCTACACCACAAAAGTAAAGGAAGGCAGTCGTTACGATGAGGAAGAAAGAGAAGTGAATCGGAAGTTTGTTACGCACTTCCCGAGCACCCTCGAAGGTACAATCAAGGCATGGAGGGTGTGGGAAGGGGACGTCCTGACCCATCCGTGAGTGTGCTGCAAGACATGTTGGACCAGTGACTGACTGGCGTGCAGAGTCGATGTATGTGAAATCGAAGAGGAGTGTCCACACACTGTCCAGTTCCTCGGGATGTGCACCAACTGTGGAAAAGACATGACAACGTGAGTCCTTGTCCGTCACCGAGCTTTGAAACCATGCGCTGAAGGTGGTCAAGTGTGCAGGCAGGAAGTGAAACCACCGATGCAGATCGCGCTCCTATTCGCATGGCCCATGATACACCTCACCTGACCATTAGCAAGGAAGAAGCAAGCAGGATAGACGAAGAAGCGAAACGCCGCCTCCTCTCCTCACGCAAACTCTCATTAGTGGTCGATCTCGATCAGACAATCATTCATGCTGCAGTAGATCCCACGATAGCAGAATGGCAAAAAGACAAGGACAATCCCAACTACGAAGCTGTCAAGGACGTCCGGGCTTTTCAATTGATTGACGACGGTCCAGGCATGAGAGGGTGCTGGTACTACATTAAACTTCGGCCGGGGCTCGCCGAGTTCCTCGATCATATATCAAAACTCTACGAACTTCACATCTACACCATGGGCACCCGTCAATATGCTCAGCAGATTGCCAATATCGTTGACCCAGACCGCAAATTCTTCGGTGAGAGGATCCTCAGTCGAGACGAAAGCGGCAGCATGATCGCCAAGAATTTGGAGAGGCTGTTTCCCGTCGATACCAAAATGGTGGTCATCATCGATGACAGGGGCGACGTATGGAAGTGGAGTGCCAATCTGATCCGCGTCACTCCCTTTGACTTCTTTGTCGGCATCGGCGACATCAACTCAAGTTTCTTGCCCAAAAAACAGGAAATCCAAACAACGCCAAAATCAGAACCCAGCGTGCCTGTGGAGAATATAAATTTCACAGAAAACGGCGAGAACGGTGAACAGGAGTCCAACGGCTTCGCCGAAGATGGGACATCAACTATACAAAATGGCACGTCGGCACTGGAACAGTTGATGGCTATGAGTGGCGGGGATGATCCCGCAGTCCGAGAACTGCAGACTAAAGGCCAAGAAGAAATCCTTGCGTTGCAATTGGAGGGAAAACCCCTTCTCAAGATGCAGCTGCAGCAGGATGAAAAGGACGAAGCTGAAGCAGCTGCTAATGGCGAGGTAGTCGCGTCTCAGTCCACGGAATCTGACTCAAGCGACTCCTCGGATTCTTCCGAGTCAAACTCTTCGGGTCCAGCAAAACACAAAGCGCGCCACAGCATCCTGAAAAACGACGACGAAGAGTTGATTCATCTTGAGGCGACCCTGACAGCGGTGCATACCGCATTTTTTGCCGAGTACGACCGAAAGCGGATGGGAGGCAAGGGAGGTCGTGTCGCAGAATTGACTGGCAAGCGTAAGGCGCCTCTACCTTCTCAAGATGATAACGACGGGCAGTCAGTGGAGCTGATGTTTGTGCCTGATATCAAGAAGGTTATGCCAGCCATGAAACTGAGGGTGTTGTCCGGAGTCAGAATTGTGTTTAGCGGCGTGCTACCACTGGGGACTGACATCCAAAATGCCGACATTAGTACCTGGGCCAAAACCTTTGGCGCCACCATCACAGACAAGGTAACCCGAGATGTCACTCATGTCATTGCGGCGCGGCCAGGCACTGCCAAGGTCAAGCAGGCCGTAAAACGTGGTATCAAGGTCGTCAGCACGTCTTGGTTAATTGAATCTATGCAACGATGGCGTAGATTGGACGAGCGGCCATATTTACTCGAAGGAGTCGGGAGGCAGAAGCCGGAGACGTCGAGCGAGCTTGGTGACAGCCTGGAAAAGTCAAGCGTCCCGCCAAATGATCTACTTCTCAGTTCATCCGAAGGAGAGACGACCGGCTTAGATACTGAAGACGACCAGCCCGCGCGGAAGAGGCTGAAGTTGGATACCATCAAAGATG